TCCAGTTACCCAATTGATCATTCAAAAATTCATCACGTAATATAGTCTATGCATACAAAAAGGCAGATTTCCACTCTGTCAATGATGTTTGCTGCATAAAATAGTATAGCTGAATCAGCACATGGCAACTATGTTGTTAGAGCATTTTTTATTTTCTCATTTATGTTAAACATAAAAACACGTGTTATAAAGTACATAATCAACCCCATCGCACTCCTCAGTTCCCCCACCCCCAACAGAAAAATTCACATTTCTCTATTTTATTTTTTGGCACTAATATAAAATGCGGCAGACAATTATAAATAAAAAAAAATTAATCTTTTCAATGGGAATAGAGGGGTTTGAAGGAAGGAAGAGGAATAACAACAACAACTTTTAAGCTTAAAATTGAAGAGCATTTCAAAATCTCTACTCCAAATATGAAGAATGACAAAAGAAACATGTTAAGTTTAACTTATTTAAAGATAAATTTAGATTTCTAAAAAATTCTCAAACGCGGAGGTGAAGATAAACTTGCAAGATTTCAATAAGAAAATAAGATAATACGGCATGATTTTTGGAGAATTTTTTGAATGGAGAAGTTACTTTAAACTACTACTGTAACGGCCCCGGAAATATTAAAATGAAATGAGTATTTAAATATATCAAATGCGGAAGCGAGATCAAAATTTCAGTTAACATCCCTTACACGGAAAAAAACCAAAAACGTACTTAAAATATAAAAGATTAAACTAACTAAGAGAGAAACTCGAAAATAAAACTATGAGTATGACTACAGAGTCTCTAGGCATCCCCTTCGTCGTCCTCCTGCGGAACGGGCTCAGGAACCATGTCCTGATCTGAAATGGTTAAATAAGGAGTGAGCTACACTAGCCCAGTAAGAACATCACGATATCTCACCGTCACGGAGGTAAAGGTGGGTAGAAAAACACAAAAGACCAATGGAGCATAATTTACAACAAACTCGTTTATTAACATGAAAACCTTTACCCTCCACTTACCTCGGTGGAATTTATGAAAACAATATAAGAAAAACAATAACATTATCATAATCATTGAATAATATAAGCTGTAAAACATAACACTTATCACGCCCCTTGAAATTTCAATCATTGTACAACATATCTTTTTCTCATTTACCAGCCTACTAGTATCCGTGGGGGTCCATAGGGGTTCCGCTACCCGTTAACCTTTAACATTCATAATCAGTTTCCAGGGCCGTCCCCATACCCCTTCCGGTATGGGCGCCAAAACCATGAACCTCAATACCCCGTCCGGTATGAGGGTGAAACGGGCCGTCCCCATACCCCGTCCGGTATGGGCGCCAAAACCATAAACCTCAATACCCCGTCCGGTATGAGGGTGAAACGGGCCGTCCCCATACCCCGTCCGGTATGGGCGCCAAAACCATAAGATCTCCATACCCCGTCCGGCATGTGCGACCACAATCCCGGTAGGGTTCCCTACGGACCCGGTCCGTCCACCATCTCCCAGGATATCTAGTCAGACTGACCCCCATAATACAATTACCCATTTACATAATCTTTTATTTTCCTTTTCCTCGGTCAGCATCTCATTCAACCAATAATCAATAAAACAGTAAAATATGCACACGAAACTATAAAATGAAACACATCAAACCTCATTTTGCATTTAAAGCTGTAAACAGGCCAAATAACAGTAAATCACCAATCACACTAGACTCGGGATCCATTAGCCACCTTAAGCAATTTCACACATTCGTTAATTCAAGAAATACCGTTTTATCATTTTGAACTTTAATACCGTGATAGGAAATAGGGTGAGGGGTCCTTACTTGTTTTCGGGATCCGAATACGATTCACAGTGCGCCTGCAGGCCGTCCCTAATTTTCCCTGAATTTTTCCCGGGGAACTGAAACACACTAACAGTACCTGCACGTGTTCCAAAAAAAACCCAAATTAGGCCCAGGGCCTCTTTCGGCCCAAATCGCAACTCCGGCACGGCGGCTCCGCCGTGCTCCGGCGACGGCGCCACCACTGGCGGCGGCGAGTCGCCTCGGGTTGGCTGTTTTCGACCGTTTTCGGCCGAATTCGGCCACACTCGCATTGGTCCTTGTCAGAAAACAACCCTAGGACCCTCGGGGGGCCGAAAAAATCACGGAAAAACGGAGCCTACCGGCGGCGGCGCTCTCGGGTACGGCGGCTCTCCGGCGAGGTTCGTGTTTTGGTGATTCGGCTTCGGTCAACCTGTAGAGAAAAGAATGGTGATCACGGTGATATAAAAATTGCATCGAACAGAGGCCGGGAAGGGCCTCGTCGGAGGCAAAAACCGAGAGGGGGCGCGGCGGCGCCGCTGGGCTTCGGCCGCGTATTCCGGCCGTTTGGCCGGGATTTCGGCCTCGATTTGGCCATAGGAGGAATCAGCGGGGAAAAACGAGTCGGGGGTATGAAATTTACCTCGATCGGCGGTCAGAAATTTCCCCGGTGCGGCGGCGGGTGGCGGCGGTCGGCCTCTGGTTCGTCTTCTCCGGCGAGCGGCGGGCGGCTAGGGTTTGTGGTCTGGTGTGGGGGTTCTATTTATAACCCCTTGCCTTTTGATCTCAGCCGTTCATTTCGTTTTAATCTGGGCCGTTCGTTTTTGATTGAATTTGGGCCGTCCGTGCGATTGAATCTGGGCCGTCCGATCGCGCGATTGATCTGGGCCGTCGGATCGCACCCACGCGGATCGCCAACGTGGCTCCTTTCGGAGTGACGCGGTCTTGCCACGTGGCAGGCCCCGGTTGGCCGGGACTGCTAACCGGGGCTGCTGACGTGGCCCCTTTTTTTTTTTTTTTTTCTCCTCCTTTCCGGGTGCTACAACTACTCTTTACCTATAAAATGAGAGAAGTAGAGCAAAAAAATATAGATCTAAGTGAAGAAGAAGAAAAATTCAGAAAAAAGAGAGGTTGTATGAAAAGAAAGAGAGAGAAAAAAGAGAAAAGAGAAAGATAAGATATATATATATATATATATATATATATATTGAGTGGGGGCCAAGAGAAAGAAGTGGTTGTCATTCTCTCTCACCATTGATGTCATCATCAATTACATTATTGATTTTATCTTTTTCTCATGAAAGTAAATTCTAATTTCAATTTCTATGCTCTAAGTTCTGCGTAAGAAAAAGATTTTAATTTTTTGTTATTTTAGATTTAATTCTTAGTGGATTACTTTATATTTATTTTCGTTGATAGTAAATTTGATTCAGAATTTAATTCGTAGTTTTTTCTTTCATACTAAAGAATTTTTCACGTAAAATCATGTATTTATTTAATTTTGCAATTATTATCTACTTATTATTATTTTTT